AGAAGCTATCTTTCTCTCAATAAATTTTTCTTACTCTTAAAAAAAATACAGTAAATGCTGCTGCTGACTACCAGCAAACAGAAAGCTAGGCTCATAAAACCACAATGCTCTGTCCTCATCCACCTTATTCGCCGGATCTGGCACTGTGCAACTGCTGGCTCTTCCTCGAAGTCAAATGAACGTGAATGGTAAATATTTTGAATCAATTCAGGACATTGAGGCAGCCACAACTGTACAACTAAAGATACTCACAAAAAAAAAAGACTTCCAGAATTTTTTCAGAAAGTGGCACAGAAGGATGGAAAAACTATGTTTGAAGTTAAGGGAGAGCATTCTGAAGGGACCTCACGGCAGTGTGTCTTTCATCATAATAAGTTTTGTTTAGAGAAGTGTTTGATAATCTGAATGTTATTACCTGTCCATGACACAGGTGGGGTTTTAACTGCCATTTCATGGACCAATCACATTATTTGCCCAAGTCACAAAGGAGACCTTGTGTTCCATTATTCCCATCCAAACCCTTTGTTGATATCCTTTTCATATTTAAGAATGATAATGACAGTAACAGCCTATGTCGTGCTATATGAGGACATAGAGTCACAGAAAGCAAGTGCTTTGGCCAAAGTCACCTAGCTATTAAGTGGCACCATCACAAACCTGCTTAATCTGGGACCAGAGTCCTGGCTCCTTTTTTTTTTTTTCTCTCTCTCTCTCTCTCTTTGGTACAAGGGATCGAACTCAGGACCTTGCACATGTGAAGCAGGTGGTGGAACCACTAAGCTACATCCCCAGCCCCCCACCCCGGATCCTTTTAACCACACTGCAAATGTGACACTATTTTGTCCATTCTTCATACACACAATTCTTAGACCTATTGTTTTCCAGATCCCATGTTAGTTTCATAAACCACAGTCACATCACATAGTCCCTGAAACTCAGCATGCTTCAGTATGGGGAAGACAAACCACCATGCCCAATGGCATAGGGAAGCTGCCTCAGATCACAGAGCAGGTACGAGTGCTACCTGATGAAGGAGGGCTTCAAACAGGAAAGCCTCATGCAGAGTCCCATCCAGAGTCACTCCAGAGAATGATGGAGAGGGAGAGACAATCCAGGTGAGGGTACATCCAGTGCAGGGGGATTGAGGCCAGAAAGGAATAAGAGAAGAAACTGGAAAGACAGGTAGGAATTGCACTGAAGAGGGCCTTACATGCTAAGCCAAAAAGACTGAATTTTATCCTTAGTCAGGGAAGAGAAACAACTTTTTAAAACCTATTTCAGCCCTCTACCAAGTACAGGACTGCACTGTGATTTGATCATAGTTAGTACTATAATCCCAGTAACAGACCAGCCTACAGGCACACTGGGGTCAAGAAATGCAACTAACATGTGGTAAAACAGTCTACAAAAAGCCTGTACAAATGTGACTGATCAATGACTGGTATAGCCAGGAGAAATATTTTGAAAATATGGCTTTGTAAGCCCCAGGACCAAATGAATTAAAAACACCAAGGTATATTAGGGGGGTGTGGGTGTGTGCCCAGCTGCTTCTGATGACAAGCCTGGTTTGAGAAGCACCGCTGATCTGAAACGGACCCACTGAAAGTCAGAATCGGAATAGTAGCCGGAAGGATGAAGAGCAGCTAGAAAAGACCAAATTCTAAATTAGTCATCAGGACTCTCAGGAAGGAGAGTTGAGGCAGGAGGATCTTGCATGAGTCACAGGGCCAAGAAAGAAGCTGCCTTTCAGGATTGAATGTAAGGCAAGAGAGGGCAGACAATCAGCAGCTGTCTCTAAATCATCACCTACACTTTAATGGCTCACACTAGCAATTCACATGTGGGAAAACCACTGCCCTAGCCTAAAAGGCCACTCACCCACCCTCCTGTCCCATGTCCCCTGCTCCGTGTCCTCCCAATCCATTCCACTCACAAAGCCAAAGCTGTGTCATTCAAATATCACTACTGCCCTTCAACTTGTTCTTCCAAGACTGCCAAATGGAAAGATCCCAGATCAGATGATGCACCATCCCCGGTAAACCAGGTACTTAGTCTTTCCTGACCTCTTTTTCCTATCATGGTCTCACTTGATTATTTCAGGCAGACATGTCGATCTCTCCCTTTGGCAGAAGAGGAAGGTGGGAAGGGAATCCTATTAAGGACAAGTGAGGGCCCTGTAGTGCATACCTGAAAGCCTTTCTGCAATAAAAGGACGGAACTTGGCCCAGGAAAGTCACTGTGTCAAGTGTAAGTGCCTTCTCCATGGTGATATGGGGGAGGGGGCCACATATCCTGGAAAGCGGGTCAGGCAATTATATGGCTGCCTGCAAGTTTTACGAGGTGGCATCAGATGGGAAGTGTCAAACTGCAAACTGCACAGGGAGGGGGAAAAAGTGGGGTTTGCCGACAGGGACAGATAAAGTTGCCAATGAAGAGGGCACTCTTTTAATTGCTCAGCCTTTCCGCTGCACCTGTAATTGGAGCAAAATGTCCCCTACAGTCCCCTCAAGGCATTCAGAGCTCAGCAGGAAGATCAGGATCCTGACCTACAGGCAGAAGAGAGAGTTGGATTTCCAAGGGAGAAGTCAGGACCAGGTGATAACGGGTGACATGCAGCATGTGACCCTCACGTGATATATTTTAGCCTTTTCCCAAGTCTGAAATGGCAGGGGGCAAAGCTCTGACCCCAAAAGAGAAGAATTTGCACTGTCTGCGTGGTGGGAAAATACATGTAAGGATGTGCACTTGTTCCTCGTGCTTTGGGGCACCCAGGAGGAGCCAAAGGACGATTTGTGCTTGGTGAGCAGTTCAGGACGCTGGAGCCTTGGGCTGTGAATTCTAATTCTGGCTCTGTGGCTAATTTTCCATGGGACCTCGAAAGGTTGGACTCGATATCTCCTCGATTTCCTTCTCAGAAAGGTGGGCCTTGACCTCATTGATCAATGACTGTGAATCATGCCTTTCATTCCTGTTCTTCGACCAGCCCATCACATGGAGTCATTCCCAAAAGCAGTACACTAAGATATTGCTAAGGATAATTCAATCAAAAACTGAGGGAAGATTCGTATTCTACCTAAATCTAACCTTAAAAGGATGACTTTTTCCCCGAAATAATCAAGCATCCGGTGAGATGAAATGTCAAAATTCTTTGAAGAAATAGGCAGCATCGTTCAAATGCAAGGCCTTATCATCATTAATTATTGTTTTTAACATCTTTAACATATCAAGTCTTGAAAATACGTATTACTGCTACCTCCAGCTATGCCTTTTCTTTGTATTTGTCATGTAGCTTTCTCGTGCCTGATTTCCTAGGCACCATAAATGCAGAAGTGAACTGTAGCAGACAAAAACAAAGATTGTGTGATTCTAACTCAGAGCCAGTATCTAGAATAGACAAAGGAGAAAGCATCTTCTGGGCCGAAGGGAAGAGGAAAGTAATGCTTGCCGTTTCTGTTTTGGTTAACAACCGATTTGGAAACCGAACAGAGTCGATTGTGCAACATTGCAGATACACTTAATGCCACTAAATTCTACACTTGAAAAATGCTGAAAAGAGGGCCAGGGATTTAGCTCAGTGGTGCCACCGCCTGCCTCACAAGCGCAAGGGCCAGAGTTTGATCCCCGGTACCAAAAAAGAAAGAAAATGCGGAAAAGTTAAACAAGTGTCACATCACAGTAAAAGATGAATTGAAACAAACAAACAAAGCCAACATCTCCCGTCCTTTATTCCTCCTGCTGGAGAGAATCCTTAGCTCCCAATATTGAGTCTGCTGCTCTGGATCCTGTTGCTCTCTGCTTCCCCTGAACTTTCCCCCAGGCTCTTTATCATATTACGTTCTGGCACTCACTAAGAACCTACTTGATTCAGCGTTCTTTCCAGAATATTGAGTATTATCAAACTTTCATTAGCCTGGATGTTCACTGGAGCTCTCTGCCCACAGCTGAGTAAATATCCTTCCAAAGGCAAGTCTGACAGATGAATTGTCTCGGCTCTGAAATGTATTTCCCGTCAGAACTCAGACAAGTGTGACAGTTTCTAGCTCTAAGCTCTTCTTTTGAATAGTTTAACATAGCTCAAGGCTTTCTCACCTTCTCTCTCCCCCAGGTTATTCTTTCCCTAAGACAACCTGCCACTCACAGAACCATCTCCTCACAGGGAAACCGGAAGTGGCCAGACTCAGAATCAAGTGAAACCTCAAGGGAGCAGAATTCTGCTTCCGGTTCTGTTCCTAATTTAATCATAAGATCAAAACCCACGTTTCCAATTCCTCTCTATATAAAAGCAGAGGTTGCAGCACCTCCTAAAAGCCTCACTGTGATTTAACAAATCAACTTGTAAGGGCAAACATTTATGAAAAAGATTTAACCAGAGCAAAATTATTTTGGTACTTCAGGAATGAAATCACTTTGGTTTGGATCCAAGACTAACCCAATTTACACACTATTCTACTTTAAGTTATTAGTGTTGTAACCAAGTTGCTGAATTTAGGGTCCCTTTGGCATAGTATTGGCCGAAGTGTTCGTCGTGCTGCGTTAGGAATATAATTTACACTTATTTATATATGTCAGCCTTGTATTTCATCCTCACTTGCTCACCCAGTTCGCTAACTTGCCACTCTAAATTCATGCCTCACTCAGAACGGGTGTTGCAACCTTGTCTCCAGTGACATTTTGAGTCGGGCAATTCAGATAACTCTACGTGAGAGCTCATCCTGCACACTGTAGCAACGTCCCTGATCTCTGCCCAGTAAGTGACACTACCATCATTCCCCAAAGCTGTGACAAGTGATATATCTATAGACATTGCCAAGTGTCCCCTGGGGAGCAAAACTACCTCACCTCCACTGAGGTAGGCAGAGGCACCACTGAGCTACATCCCAGCCCACCTCCCCTCCATTGAGAAGTACAGGTTTAGACCTGATTTCCAACCACATAACCAACTCTTTTGTTGTCTCTCAACACTTTCATCATAACCCCCAAATTGTCACGGTTTATCTCACCTTCTGGCTTTCTTAAGTGTCTTCTTTGCTTCAAGGAAAGGATAATTCTTATCCAAAAGTCTCTTCTACCATATAGCCTAAATGAAGTATCCTGAAAAATGAGACTCTGTCCTTAAAAGCTTCATCATCGCTGGAAACATCGAGCTAGGGATGCTGAAATAGAATTTGAGTTAGAGCTGGCAGACGAGCTTTAGATCAAATCAAAACTGACCAAAAACCTTCATCCCAATTCAAACTGAATCTGGCCAAAGCCCTTTCAGAAAACAAAAGATCTATGGGAGGAAGAGGAAAAGAAGGGGGAGGAAGGTGAGGAAGAAGGAGAAAAACGGTGTAATCTTTCCACAAACTATCTCACATTTCACATTGTCTTAACTGAAATTCAGTAAGAACTTCAGGGCAGAGAAATATTGCCTGTATGTTGGATCCTATATTAAAACCCTTGATCTCTCCTAGCAAGAAACAATTATTTCCATAAATGATTCCGTACTCTTGTGTGGCAAATTCGTGCCCCTTCAGTCTGACCGGAAATGTTTCCCACACACTTCCTCCCCAACCCCAGCACCAGCTTCATAGCCCTTGAGAGACCACAACGTGATTTAAAATATTGGCAGACTTGAGATTCCAGGAAACTGATGTAAACCGTTTGATGTTTACCTCTCACCATTAAATTTCCCAGACTCTCCAATGAGTTTGGGGGTGTGTTTCTTCCCATCGAATGCCAGGGTAAACAGGGCTACATTTGAGAAAAGAAAAGAAAGACATTTCTAAAATTCTAGGTGCTTTCCACGTTTGCCTCATGATTAGTCCTACAAATGGAGAGAAACATCCATTTCAGGTAGGTAAAATAAATCTCCTAAATACCCTAAGCACGGCCTGAGGAAGTATAAATTTTTATGATGCACAGCTCCATTAATTCTTTCCCCTGAGTTTCAATTGTGTTTCTCAGTAAGAGGTAGGCAGACAAAACTCTAGGAACTAAAATTTTAATTCTTTGCTCTCAACTACCTATCACAAGGCATTAGCAAACAGAAGCTGAAACTGTGTGCTTAAACCCAGACATGTATTGTTAAATGTGACATGCTCAATTTATCATCAGTTATGAAGTGAAAACGGATGAATACACATTCAATTTAGTTCAGCTGCTTTCTTCATTTATCACACCCTTTCATCATCCATCATCTTCCCCCACCCTTTTGATTTGAACAAATAACACACTTTCATAAGTTTAATCTAATTAATCATAATTGTAAGGTAATGTTCCCTTAATGAACCATACATCTGATTTTATAAAGTTTGTTGCAATTTTAATAAAATGTGTTCCAGATAGAATCTATAAATGTTCTCTTTGAAACCCAGCCACCTAATCATTCTTCTTCCTAATTTGTGTTTCTCAACTCTCTGTGCGTGTGTGCATGCACTCCCTCCCTCCCTCTCTCTCTCTCTCTCTCTCTCTCTCTAGGGCCAATGAAGATATAACAGTAATGACAGCCACTCGAGCACACCGGCCTTCTGTAGAACGCCATTTCAGTAAATTGCCAATTGTTCATCACTTAATGGGGCAAGGCAGGAAGTTAAGAAAATTAATTAAAGAACGGAGAAAAAGGTAATGAGGAATGGAAAGGATTATTCCTCCATTATTACCATAAATACGAAGTCAGACCTTGGTGGTAACTACAAAAGTCAAGACAGAACTATAAAAAGAACCTGTCATTCATGTGTACAAATTATGCTACAAATTTTCAAACCTTTCTTTCTAAGAAAACTAAATTAGAAACTCAAAGGAAGGGCCAGGGATTTAGCTCAGTGGTGCTACCACCTGAATCGGAATCGCAAGGTCCCAAGTTCAATCCCCAGTACCAAAAAAAAAGGAGAGATAATAGTCTAAATCTGTGAAATTCCATGTTATTCCCCAAATTTGGGCAGAGGAAATTAGATGAGCCTCGACCTCAACCTGTATGTACAATTTTGGTTTAGGTGACAATAGAATCAAAAAAACCTTAAAGCCAGAAGAAGCATTAATGCCATTTGCTTTCAATTGTTTGCTTTAAAAATGAGGAGACTGCATGGATCAGGGATTCAGCTTAGTGGTTCTGCTGCCTGCCTGAAAGTACAAGGTCCAGAGTTTGATCCCCAGTACCAAAAAAAGAAAGAAAAAAAAAAGGGAGATGGCCTATGCCTATAACCCCAGCACTCAGGAGGCTGAGGCAGGAGGATCGCTGTGAGTTCAAGACCAGCCTGGGCTACATAGTGAGTTCCAGGTCAGTCTCAACTACATAGTGAGACCCTGTCTCAAAAATAAATAAACAGGAAGAGTTGAAAGCTGGGGGCTTGTTCAAGGACAAGGTAAGGGACTTGCCCAAGGTCACAGGTCCATGCCAGTAGAATCAAGACAGAGCAAAGCCTACTGACTGGCATCCCCATGCCCTTCCCCACCTTGCATTCCGCTCCACATTCAGAAAGCTCACGGACCAGTTTCCTGTAGGACACCGGCTGCTCTTCATTCTGAAGAGGGAAAAAATGCAGTGAGAAGAAAATTAGAACGGTTTCAGGGCATGGACCACATGGCACTCTAAACGCTGTGTCACACTGGCACTAGCAGAGAGGGGACACAGCCCCTCCACAGCCTCTCCACGTGTCCTCCTGCAGGGCTGGCACTGTGTTTCCGGTGTGTGCTCTGCCAGAAGCCACAAGGCACTGATTTCCTGCCCAGAAAAAGTTGTCTGGACGGACTGATTGCTCTTTCCACACCCTCTCCTGGGCACAGGATCTGCCTCCTCTTTGCAATCTCATTAGTGACACTGATACCATCCGCCCTAGCTCTCTCCTTGTGCTCCTGACCTTCTCAGGCCGGAATTTTTCTTAAATGCCCTTTCTGCATGTGACGGCCAGAGGATGGCCAAACTGGAGAATCAATTAACATAAATAAAAAGAATAGAGCCTATTACTCATTCCCTGACTTTATGGGCCGGACCATCCAGTAGTCCTGACATTCACCTTGGTAAAAATGCTCCTCTGGCCTAAGGCTGATTACAAATTTCACTCGTTCTCTGCTTTGGAACAGGGGTCACTAGAGGTCAGTGCATAAGAAATGATCACACATTCGCCAACAAAACACATGGACCGGCTTACTTCCTTTTTAAATGCGGAAAGCAAAACAAGACCCTCTGACACCCATCCTCTCATATACGCGCTACTGGTAAAAGTGTGAAAGGCCAGCCGCTGGGTGGAGTATGGAGGTGACTTTGCAGTATCCAGCAAAAACTTGAAAGCTTTCCACACCCTTTGAGGGAAAAACTCCTGTTCGATCATGTCTTCTAAGGTAACAATCAATATATCTCTGTTTGAAAGTTTGGAACATTATTACAACGAAGTATTATTGCTGTTTAAAATGATACTATAGACGGGGATTTAGCTCAGTGGTGCCACCGCCTGCCTCGGAATCGCAAGGGCCCGAGTTCGACCCACGGTACCAAAAAATAAAATAAACTGATACCATAGAATAACGTTCGAAGACCTGAAGAAATATTCATAATATTTTAAATTTTTTAAATGCAGCCTAGAAAAAATACTATAGCATTCCCTCATGTCTTCAGTTTTTATGAATATTTTACCTTTATAAACAGATTGTATAAAAATACACTAAAAATGTAGCGCTATCTTCATATGTAAGATTTATGGAAATTGTAATTCATTAATTAATTGTGTAAATTATAATCACCCATTTAATTGCTGAATTTCTTTCTTTTGTGGTGGGGGGGATTTGAGACAGGGTCTCACTATGTAGTTGAGACTGACCTGGAACTCACTACGTAGCTCAGGCTGGTCTCGAACTCACAGTGATCCTCCTGCCTCAGCCTCCCGAGTGCTGGGATTACAGGAGTGCGCCACCATGCCCGGGAATTGTTGAATTTCTTTGTGAAAGCAGGACTTGGCCTGCTATTGATGTTTAGTAGCAGTGTTTTGCCTGTCCCGAGAGAACAGTAATAGCTCAATAGACATCTGAATGAAGGAAGGAATGAAAGAAAGTGATTTTTATTTTCTTTATACTTGGTTCTATTTTCTCTGCTCTCTATATTGTGTATTCCTTACAATGAGAAATGAAACAATAAATATATTCTATTGTTGTTATTTCTTTGAAAAGTCTTCATTTTGGAATGTTTTCCTAAGGAACAGTCACAACTAATGTCTCAGAGAAGCTTGTGAAACTTCATTCAGCTGGGAAGTCAGTGGAAATTAGATAAGCAACTTATACAATGCAAATTAGATCGCAGCGCTGATAAGGATGATAAGGATGCGAAGGTCTCTCAGTCGATAGTTAATTGAACAGCTACTGTGTACAAGTTTGGGAAGGAGGGAGACAAATACAATGAAAAAAACACAATGAAGAAAACTTCCCACTTCCAAGGAAATTTCAAATTGTACTGGAATAGTAGAGACCCTGTGCATGCACTTCCGCATACAGCAATGAAATGTGTTATAACAGAGCTATAAATGAAACACTGCGAAAGAAGAGAAAAGAGGAATTAAATGCAATTGGGGTGGGGGAGGTCAGAGGAGGTCTCAAAGGGGGGCTGATGCCCTTAAAAGATCCATGGTTGAATTTTGAAAGATGGAGGTCTGTCCTACATTTAACCTTGAATTAGAATAAAATGAATTCCCAGTGGCCTGGCATTTAATCACTGCAGAATCAAAAGGCCAAACAGACTTGCTAAGCATGCAGGGACAGATTTTTTTTTTTTTTCTAACCCGGAGGGCACACAACAGCAAAAACAAATTACAAACTTTGCCCTGAGGCAGACGCTTGTCCAGGCCTCCCCGGCCCCACCAACAGAGGAGGTGCAACAGGTTCCAGACATTCGATTTGCTTTTCTCCAAAGTGTCCATCACCACCTGCTTTGCATATCTTTGGGTGCTTATCGGCTTATGATCTGCCTTCTCGACTAGAATGCAAACTCCAAAAACGCAGGGGTCTTTGTCTACCTTGACTCTCTATCACCAGCACCTCGGAGAGCACCTAGGCTATGGTAATCACTCATTGAACACACTGGTGGTCAAATAGATGAGTGCTCCAAGGTGAGTGTGGCACAGGCAAGGCATTCCGCACACCCAGCTAAGCCCTGGATCGCAGATGCGCGAATCCGGGAAGGCTGTGGATCCAGAACTCTTCCTGCGATGGAATTTCAGGGGCTCCCAAGTTCAAGAGCCGAGAAAAGACCTGACACGGCCTGGCTCAAAGCTTCAGAAAACCACCACGTTCACCTCAGTCCCTCGCCTTTTCCTCTGTGCTTTAGTTTAGCAAACTGTACTGATCCTTGTCTCGTCTAAAATCCCGTTGTATAATAAAGGATTCATCTTTGGCCCAGGTTCCTGGAAGAGAGTTCTCAAACCCTTGCAATTTCCCAGGGGGAGAGCTGTCTATGTGACTCAGGGTGAATCTTTGGATCGCATCTAAAGTGTACGCTAAGGAGATGACTCAGGACAGGGGCTGACCAGGCCAGAAATGCTAACCACGTGACTAGAGAGTTGGGGCTCTGAGGCAGGTGATACTCATCCAGTCTCTCCAGCAAGGGAAGCAGCATTTAGAGACTGTGTTCAACTACATGGGCCAACGTTGAACCATGAAACTCTATATAAGCCATGGACACTGAAGCTTGGGTGAGGTCCTGGCTGATGAGCTCATTCATGTGCTGATTCCGTGAGTAAAAGAGAGGGAAGTCCTGCGTTCAGAAATCTTTCCAGACCTCACAAGGAAAAAAGAAAAACTGTCACCCTAAGCATGGTGCTGTCCCATCAAGTTGCTCTTGTGAATTATCGAACCCAAAGGCATCATGAGACTCCTGAACTTATCATGCACTGTCAGAAGACTGCCAGCCTCATGGCTGCAATGAAGTGAGGGGAGTCTTTTTGGATACTCTGCCCTTAACCTCAGGGTCTGCCCTAACTCCACATGGTAGCATCAGAATCATGTTGCAGGGTGGCAAGATTGCTTTACCGCATGAGACGACAGTGAGAACTCAGATAAATAATGCATCGCATTTGTACAATGGAAACAACCCTCCCCCTCCCCCAAAAAAGAAAATCCAAGAAATCACCAGTTTTTATCTGTGTCTCAGTCACTTTCCAGTCACTGTGACACAATACTCAACACCCACAACTCTAAGGCGGAGAGGTTTCTTTTAGCTTTCAGTTTGTAGAGGTTCCAGTGCATAGTTGGCTGGCTGCAGACGGGGCAGAGGGGCCTGGCAGAAGAAAATTGCTCATGGCACTGCAGAGAGATCACGGGAGCAGGGAGGGAGAGAGACCCACCCTTCCGGGCCACACTCCCAGTGGCCCACATCCTCCCACAAGGAATTCACCTCCCAACATCACAATTAGCTACAAACCTATGAGTGAACTGATGAGGGTCACGTCTTGTGATCCAATTACCTCTCAAAGCCCCACCTATGAGCAGCTGAGGCTTTGGGGGACATCTAGATATAAACAATAGCAACTCGCATGCACCTTGGTGTTACATGTGCTATAATGGATTGTGAGATAGGAAAACAATTCTAACATCAATTTCCTCCATGAAACCTTAGGCAGTTCCCTAAAGCGGAGGAGCCTCAGCTTTCTTACATGTAAAGTCAGGACAATAGTCTATGCCCCCACGTACCTTAAAAGCTGTCACAAAGGAAATGCCCACTGCCACTTGTGGGTTGTATGATAAAACACATCCCAAGGAGCTACTGAATTTCAGTGTGCAAGGCAAATACTTATTGCATGTCTAATCCATTCATTAAAATTTTTCCCACTCTGAAAAAATTTATAACACACATTAGAGGTCAACAGACAAGACCGGAATTGCATTTTTTTTTTAAATCTTCACAAATGGAAGCTTAGGCAATTTAAGGTAGAAACAGTGGAGTCCTTGAGTACCTGTCACCTTTGCTAGAATATCTTGCCAAATTTTCAAGAAAAACAAAATGGGGTTAATCACAAGGATGTACTATATAATCAATAATTTAATGCTAATCTTTATACTAATCTTTAATATTGCTTATATAATATAGTGCATCACTAACTTGTTTCACACTGAGTATGCATTTTTACTTTTCCAGCCACATGAGCAGACTTTTTTAATATGATGGTATAGACTCAGAAACATGAATAACTTTCCCAAGGTCGCAGAGCTGGCAAGTACTACCGGAAACAGTTTGATCGAAGACGAAAATAGCTTCCCATTTACTTAACTCTTGCTATGGGTCAGGTACAACTTTGTATTTCACGTGCTTCATTCATGCAGTCTTCTCACAGCCCCTGCAAGGTAAGAATGCCATCTGACTGAGTAAGCTGAGAAACAGAAAGGTTGGAGACTTTTCAAGTCACTCTGGTCATCAACGATAGAACTAAAATTCAAGCCCAGTGATACACATTGCTTTCCCACCATTCACCCCAACAGTAAAATGGGTACAACAATACCTACATGCCTTCCAGGGTTTCGGGGAGGATTCTGAAGGGTGGAATAAGCAAAAGTTCTGAATTCCATATCTGGCATTAGATTCTAAGAAATGTGAGGTAAACCTGTTGTTTTGTT